CATGAGTTGCTTCACACATATATTTATATACAGAGACTTTTGCAAAACAGAGTTGTCCACTTGAGCTACTTATCTATACATGCTGAAGTTTAAGCCAATAAGTTTAAGGGGACCCTTCCTCTTTAATTTCTTATTCTCTTCTCCCCAAGGTCTTGATCTTTAACCTGTGAGTTTGTTCCCCAGGGTTCTGATACCTCTTCCTTTTAGCTCAGTCTTTGGCTTTCTGTTACTTCCCCTCTCTTTGGATTCGGGGTGAAAAAGTAGGGGAAAATAGATTTTGAGATCCTACACATAGGCGTAGAGGGAGGTACAGTGGCACTATTTATTTTAGGTTTATGGTCATCTCAAAGACAAACCTTTTTACTTTGAAGGTGTCTACATGTTAGCAAAGACGGGGAAATTATTATAATTTCTGAGTAGTTTAGTACATCATACTGTAAGTCTAACCCATGTTGGGGATCACTGGGCAGAAGGTGGGGGACACTCCTCCTTGTGGCCCCTTGAGGATACAGACTTATGGAGGTTCTGCCATCTTGTAGCCCCACCATCCTGAAAATGTAGCCTCCAAGATCTCAGAGGGAGGGCAAGAGTGGGGGGCGTGGCACAGAGTGACACATGTCACTCCTGTTCTATTTCATGAATAAAACAAATGGCCCATCTTCCTGCAAGGGAGATCTTCCCTGTGTTCAGAAAGGAAAGGAAGATGGGGTGTGAGTGAGAAGCAGTGGTTACTAGCACAGCGAGTTTTATGTTTTAGAATATTTTTAGTGTGTATGTCTTTGGGGCTGTGTACACTGTGCATGCCCGACTTGGAAACTACCTCCATCTGAATGATTGCAAGTTGAATCAAACTCAAATGTACCCTTAACCCAAGTCTACTATTAGGAAAAACAAACACACAAAACTTTGAATGTGAACTAAAACTATATTGGGAGCTTTGGTGAGTGTTCCAGTTTCATTTTCCTGTAAAGTTGTTCTTCGTGATACCGTGTTTATTCAATCCCCGAAGTGTTGTCAAGTAAGTAGTATTTAATCCGTGAAAAATTTCAAGTGGCCCCTTTTTCTCTCTCAAGTGTTTCTTTTTTTCTCAAGTGTTGCTGTAGCCATTTTAACATTGAAATGAACCGTTTGATTTAAAAAAATTATTTATGGCACATCAAGTAGCACTTAGTGCTCTGCCACAACATTCGACGGTTCCTGGAGGCCCGTGTGAAATACGGCGGGAAGGTCGCGAGGCGTGTGTACAGGCCTTCTGCAAACATACCTCACCATTGGAGCTGGTTATAATTCCTGGGTGCTGACATGAAGATTAATAATGTTTAACTCGGATTTTGGCAATTTTTGCCAATTTCATTGCCATGCTCCTTTTGTTTCAAGTTATTACCTAGAACTGAAGTGATAACAAATGTTTCATGTTTTATACTGCCAGATAAAAGGTTAAGTTTTCGTATGTCATATGCTCCTACACACACACACACACACACACAGATATATATATATATATATATATATATATATATATATATATATATATAACTATATCAGAAGGAAATGAGTAATTCTCCTAAAATGAAAAGATTGTCCTCCTTTTAACATTAGGTGACTGGTTCCCATGCGGTTGAGTCATATGTAAAAATTGGAAACTCAACCTATGGGTCTTTATGCACTGACTATATCATATAGTTCTAATTTTCTTTTGTTTTTCTGGGAAATGATGGTGCTTTTTGCTTTGCCAAGTTTTATTATTGAGTCAACTGCCAAAGTTTAAGAGAGAGAGTCAGGGGCCCTTAAAATTATTTGGTGTTGAGTGAAGAGGCAAAGAAAAGTATTTCATATTCTCAAACATTTTAACTTTTATGTCTCTACCTGATGTTGGAATATAATCTAAACTTCAAGGCTTTTCTGGTTCTTTTTTGACTGATGTACACTGTTGAGTGAAGTCCAAATATTAGCGAGGGGAACTTTAATCCTGCTCGTTGATACCCAGTTTGAAACTGCATATTCTAATTTTTAATAGACTATCTTCTTTCTTGCCTGATCGTCCCTGTGTTTAAACTTCTGTGCATCAGAAGGCCTGTGCGCCTGCTTGTGGTTTTGCACCATCTGGAAGTTAAAATTTGACTTTAGAAATGATGTCATACTTGCTTACTGCAAACTGGGCTCATGTTGGTTGAGAATTGGATGCAGTTCAGGTAAAAGTTTTGTCTTAAAAGAAAAAAAAAAAAGGCCCTTAAGCTTTGTTTCTTGATTGTAGGAGACTGTGCAAAGCTGTAAAGATAGAGTGAAGGTGATTGAAGGGCACGATTCAGATTCCTTTGAAGCTAAGTACATGCTTTGGGCGCATGGAAAATCAGCTCCCAAGCCGAAGAGCTCAGCTGGCACCGAATCTCTCCTGCCATGTAGAATTCGGGTGTTATGACTAGTGTGTTGATCACGACCATCCTTGTTCTCTATTTTATTCCTGGAGAAATATCCTTACAGCTAGGTTGCTTTTTATCTCTTCTGGGCTCAGGAAGATGCAACTGGGCACTGATAGATCGTGCATGGTGAGAAGGTGCTACAAATGTTAAGTGTATTATTCATCAATACAGTCTTTTTTTCTCAACTCTCTTCAGCACCACTCACTACTTTCCATATTGTAATTTATTTACATCACTGTTTTGGGTATTGGGTATTCCTTTTAGTCCACACAGAGACCATCCACCTTTGATCACTGGAAGGTGGGACCAGTTTCGTCCAGATACACACTGAGCCCTGCTCAACCTGTGTGCAAATCTCTACAACTGAATGTAACCCTTTTTAACCACTGCTATAATCTGGACTAGTCAGCATGTCCTGAGAATTTACAAAGGACCCACAGATGCAGTTCTTTATGTATAAACAAAAAGTATTTCTTTTTTACCTGATACGATGAAAATCCAAAGACAAGTATTGATGTTATTTCAAATTGGTAGGTGAAGATAACTTTAAACAAAGATAGGCCACTTGAGAATCTCTATGTTTACACTTGAGTGCAACTGGAATCAATTTTCATTTCGGGGAGGGAAGATCCCCAGACATGAGCATCCCTTCCCCTTCCCAGCCCCTAGATCTCTATGGTCATTATGTGAGAAGAGGCACAGGCATCAGATGTTTCAGGAGTCGGCTGTTCTCACCCTCTGCAGTCCCAGAACGCACATCCTCTCCCATAATGCAGTCAGGGTCATTCTGCCAACAGCTTCAAGCACTTGCTGCCCCTTCCCTTGCTGGGACCTCCTAGCTTCATCCTCCTCTCAGGGACAGAAACTGGGAAAACGCTACTCACCCACCCCCTCATCACCTTTGACCCTTAGGAACACCACTTTGGCACCCCTTTCTTGGAAAGGGGTAAGAAAAGGAGATTCTACCCCATTAACTATTATCTCTGATATCATCAGCCTTGCGTGATGTGTACTACTTAAGACTGATTCCTGTCTTTAAAAGCATAAAATGTCAGGCGCTCTGTTCCAGCCTCTTTGTTTGAGGAATGAAGAAACGGGATGGAAGGTTGGGTGGGGGGAAGTGAGTTGCTTGTCTAGATCCTCACGGCTAGACAGAAGCAGAACCCAGCCTAAAACCTAAAGTTCTCTCTTCGTTTTATTTTCACATTTTTAATTATTTGATTTTTTAAAGAGAGAAACATTGATTCATTAGTCCATTTATTTATGCACTCATTGATTGATTCTTGTATGCGCCCTGACTGGGCTTGAACCCACAATCTTGGCATATCAAGATGATGCTTTGACCAACTGAGCTACCCGAACAGCCTAAAAATTCTTTTTTCTTCCTTTCTTTCTTTTTTTAAAAAAAACTTTTAATTGTTTTCATTGTTCCAGGTTAAGCCTTTGACTCTGTATCCTCATAGTATTTACATATCTATTTATTGTGGCTTAATATGACATCCTGCATCCATTTTTTTTAAACCTTTGTCCTTTTTTCTCCTTTTCATCCAAATTTTACTTGCTCTTAGTATAATGAGCAAAATTTGCACAGCAACCCCCGTTACCAGTCCCATTTCTTCTTCCCCGAGACAAACCGCTTTAACTCTTTCTGTCTCATTATTTGATAATATCTCTAAACAACGTGCTTCACCACACTTCCTGATTTTTGATGTAGCTACTACCTGTCAGATTCCTGGTATGGAAGGTGAGGATTAAATTCCCCAGCACCCACAGCACCCATGTAAATTTTTTTACACGTGGTCTTCAGAAAGAAAATAAAGCTTATGTTTCCTCCTTTTATTACTGACACTTGAAAAGCAGGAATTGTAGCCCTGGCCAGTTTGGCTCAGCGGTTGGAGCGTGGGTCTGTGGACCAGAGTCCTGGGTTCAGTTCCCGCTAGGGGCGCGTGCGGAAACACACAAACAAAAAAACAAAAGCAGGAATTGTAGTCCTGCGATTTTTGAGGTAAGGTAGAACTAGGCAGTTTTTGTATGCTTTGTCTTTTTTTCTTTTTTCTTTGGAAAGGAGTCTTTCAGAAAGCTGGGGAACAGGCTCACTGCACAGTTTCTCCCCCCAGCAGCATTCACTTCCTCTTGGCTACATGTCTTTTGCTAAAGTAGGAGTGTTTCTCTGCATGTCAGTTCTTCCTTCCAGGTGTCTGTCTGGGGTGGGGCTGTCTGTGTTCTCCGTGTCCGCGGAGGATGCTGCGGAGGGAGCCCCGGACGCTGGGGCGCCGGGAATCGGCGGATCCGTGCGCTCATTTCCCAGAGTAGTTTCCCAGCTTGGGGTCACCCTACTACTTCATAATGTCTCATCTCATACAAAACCTACATTAAAAATGTATCACTGTTCAGATGCATACGCAAGAGGACTTCACGTTAGAGACAGGCTGTTCAGGTGCGTGGCGTCTGGGTGCCCGTGAGCAGTGATGAGATCTCGGGCTCAGGAGGCCTGCGGCCACCCCCGCAGGGCTTGACTGACGGTGCTGGTGAGCCGACCGGGTGTAAAACCCTTACATTCTTTCTTCTTCCCGATTTCAGGTCGATGCACTGAGACTACGGCTGGAAGAGAAAGAATCTTTTCTCAATAAAAAAACAAAGCAGCTGCAGGACCTCACGGAAGAGAAGGGGACACTGGCTGGGGAGATTCGCGACATGAAGGATATGTTAGAAGTGAAAGAAAGAAAAATCAACGTTCTTCAGAAAAAGGTGAGTTGCTGGCAGAGCCCGTAAGGCTGGGAATTGGTCTCATCCGTGCATTGTCCTTTCAGAGACATTTTTGAGCATGTGGGAAAGAAGATACTGTTTTGAAAGAATTTTAGACTGGAATTATAAACGTGAAACTTACTCATGTTGTGGCATGTCATTTTTAGCGTGGCCTTTGGAATTTGCTATTTGATTACCTGAAAACTAAATAGCGATGATATTGGTTTTCATTTGCCAGCTTAAACATAGAAATAATTGGATAAATTTAAATATAAGTCTAAAATGATAAAAAGTCCCAAAAGTTAATCTTTCCCTTTTCCTTATGGAGAGTTGAGCAAAGAATTTGTGGGTCTTAAAGATATTTCAGATGCATTTTGTATTTACTAAACTTTAGTGGATCTTATCCTGCCAAACCCATACAGATTTTAGGAGGGGGTAATGTTCACATCCATTACTTAATTGGAGTCAATGGAGAATGTCTAGTAAGCCCTGACTACAGTGACCTAACACAGAAGATGCTTGACCTGAATGGGGTCCTTTTTTCCTTCCTTCTGTCAGCAGCTTATTTTCTCTATTATAGGCGATCCAGATTTTGTGACAGCACTCTATGATTTTCTTTTGGAGAATTCCTACTTGCTACTATATACGTTTTGGTCTCCTGCCTTCCCCTAGCAAAGTGTAGGGAGGAAGAGAAACCAACACCTGCTCTTTAAGAAAATGTATTGTGAAGCATAGGGCTTTCAGAGTAGCAGGCAGTCAGCCTGGAAACCGCACGGGCAGCAGTGGTGGGCAGGGGGGCCGGCCGGCAAGGACACTGCCATAGGCAGGCCTGTGGCTGGTGACCTGTGCTGCAGCTGCTAGCAAATGGCACTAACTGGCTTCTTCTTTTGGTGTCATTTGCCACCATCATCTCCCACCCTGTTTATATCAATAGCATCCTAGCTGTTGTTTTCTGCACCTACCCTTACCTTTCCTCCAGCTTATTCTTAAAACAGAAGCTAGAGCAATTCTTTCAACATAAAACCATCCACATCACTCTAATCAAAGCTCTCTGGTTACAACCAGCTACATAATTGTGGGGGCCCAGTGCAAAAAGAAAATGTGGGGCCTCTTTTTTCAAACTTTATTGTGAATTTCAGGATGGGGTGGTAGCAGAGCATTACACCAAGCATGGGGCTCTGCCGAGTGTGGGGCCCTGCGCAGCTACGCAAGTCACACACCCGTGAAGCTGTCCCTTTCCCCAGTGGTTTCCATCCTCACTCTCCGGATATTGGTGATTGGGTGGATCATATTATTAATTCATTTCTGGGAAGATCTTTGCATCAAAGCCCTGGTCATTGGATCCTCCCTTTGAGGGTCCCGCTAATGCATAGAGAACGAGAAGAGAGCCTGGAAGAAACCACCGAGGACCTTTGAATCAATGGGACTGTCTAGGGCAGGCGGGACTAACAGAGAAACAATTAAGTGGAATTTCTTGGAACATCAAATGAAGATTCCAAAGAAGCCTTTTCATTTAAGTACCAAGCAGAGAATGAGGACAAACACTGATGTTGAACGCTGTATGCTGGATACTCTTCTGTGCTCATCACATGAACCCTTGACCTTGACCCTGTGAAGCAGGTATAGTTACTAACCCCAAGAAACGGGGGGATACTGAGGCTTCTGGTAGGTTTGCCCAAGGTCATGCAATCTAGACACACATGTTTTTTTGTCTTTGGGAAAATAAGATAAATGGTTATTGCAAATTAAGAGAATAAGCCTCATTTCCTCTAGTTTTCTGATGATGACACCATGTGTGGGAGCGAATGGAGGAAGAACATCCCCGTTGTTTGTTTCACCCGGAGGTGAGACCAAGCACTCTCATTCTTGAGAAATAAGCGGCAAAAATCAGCTCAGCAAAGATTTTGGGAAGACACTTTTCACGCCTAAGTGACAAATGACCACTTTTGCTGATATGCATATTTTGTAAAATTTTAAACTCTTCTCCACAGATAGACTCAAAGTTTTGGGACCAGTCTGAAAGTCCTAGATCAAAGTCGTTTATGTACCATGGCTCCTTTGGACAACATGATCACAATTCCACTCATTTAAACCATGTAGATAATGAATTTGGAAATCTTTCATGTATATTTGGAGAGGTTGTTCCACTTTGAGTGTTCTTCACTGAGTGTTCACCAGTAAATTCGGGAAGGAACTAAAACCACTGGCAACACAGCGAAGGAGAAGGAGTCCTGTTACCCCCGCAATGTGAAAGCGATGCAAATCCCTGAGGTGATGCGCACAGAAACCAACTCAGAATGTGGAAATGACACAGAAGCCAATGGGCCGATGAAATGTTGTCTTTGGGTCTGAACACCCCTTAACATCTTGACCAAATTCAGCACACTGGCTGTTTTAGGGCAGGCCCGGTTTGGAACAGCATGAGCTTTGGATTAGGGTGGGTTGGCATGGAAGAATAATAAACTCATGTCAATGTCAGAGGTGGAGTATTACTTAATATTTCTTTCTCACAGACTCTTGGCAGCCAGCGCTGTGTTTTCATGCCAGTGGAACTGGGTATGCTCCTTTCATCGCCGTGTTTAACCTGGCCCGGCTAGGCTTGCACCGCGCCTCCGTCCGCTCGCCTTCGGGCCGGGTCTCGGAAGCCTTGTGTACCCCGTAAGCCATGTGGACGGGTCACATGTCGGGCAGCAGGCACGACCCGATGCTCTAGACATGTTGCTACTTGAAGAAGGAAGTGCAGTGGAATAGACCGGGAACCGCCTACTCCCATGTGGAAGGGTATCTCTGATCAAGCTTCGTAGGGAAACAGAAGTCATCAAAAGTGGATTTTTGGTCCTACCATCATATTTTTGGCTCTATTCCATAATTCCAAGATATGGAATTCTTTTATGAGGGGACAGAAATGTGCATGGATGAAAACTGTTCAGAGGAATATCCCCTTGAGGCTGAAATACTGAAGTCAGGGGAACAGCACAGTTTTCCTGCTGCGTTCTGTTCCGATACCTGAATTCAAACTGCCGTTGATGAAGTGCTACCTGACTATTGAGTCATTTTTGTAGGAAATGTCATAAAACCTTGACGACATTGTACATTTGGAAAGTGTATAATGCCCAGGGTTTTAGGACATGGTAGTATTATTTGAACCAGATAAAATTCTGTTACACAGCCCATAGATTCTTGCAACATAAACTTACTACCCAAGATCTTTTTTTTTAAAAGCCATTAAACTGGACAAAAAAAAAAATCTATCTCCATTTTCATTCTAGGTCGCAGTTCCACGAGCACCATGAATTTATAGAGCAAAGGCACTTTATTTATTAGGGGTAGAAAAACAGATGGTGATTTCTCTGGGAGCCAAGCTCACTAGCTGTCTGTTGGGCTCCATGGATTGCCCTGAGGGTTGAAAAGGGCAGGGAGAGGTGAGTGGTGTTGGGTCTGGGAGTGATTTTATGGACCTGCCCACCGTAGGAGCTTTATCTACCCATTTGGAAGTATGGTGGTAAAAGTTCTCAATGCTGAGGAGTTCAGAGGCAAGGATGTACAGGAGTATGATTATTAGCATACTGGGTTTCTTCATGAAGTTTATACAAAACAGTGATATCTGTGAAGACTACAGAACATAGAGATTTCCACAAGTGTGAAATTGAGGCAAGGTATGGAGGACTTTTTGACTCAGTCGAGCTCTTAGTGTTTATTTTTATTTATTTATTTTTTTAATCCTTACCTGAGGATATTTTTCTATTTATCTTCAGATAGAGTAGGAGGGAGAGAGAGAGAAACATGGACGTGAGAGGAACACATCGACTGGTTGCCTCTTGCATGACCCCAACCAGGGCCAGGGATGAACTGCAACTGAGGTACATGCCCTTAACTGGAATGGAACCCATGACTCATAGGTCCGCGGGCCAACGCTCTACCGCTGAACCAAACCGGCCAGGGCGAGCTCTTAGTGTTTAAACATCCAGTTGAAGTTTTGTATTTGTTATTGCATTTGTTGTTGGCAAATTGCATTTGTTATTGGCAAACCTCCTAATTTTTTGAACATGTGCAAAATCATATTCATTTTGCATTTGTTGAGTGTTTGCTATGTGTCAGTCAGTCACTTCTGTGGGTCCTGGAGGTTCAAAGAGAAATGAGACATTGTCCAGTCCTCAAGAAGCTGACAGTCTGATTGGGGAGATAGACATGCATAATCCTAAATATAAGTGCAGTGAAAAGCAGTGTGGCATGGAACCAGAAGCAAACAACTTGCTGGATGCAAACAGCAGAAGCTAATTCTGGCTACTTTAAGCAAAAACGAATTTATTGCAAGAATATCCAGAGCCCCAGTGTCTGGCCCATAGAACCAGATTAGAGGGATGATCAAGAACTAGGGCAGCTCAAGGAGACCAGGAAAAGGCAGACAATGACGTGATCTCATAACCAGGGGTGTCTGGTCAGGTGCCTTCTCGGCTGATGGCTGCCCTCTTACCCTCTTCTTTCTGCCCTTACTTACATCATGCTGTTGGTCAGGATTCAAAGTCCTGAGACAGAGCTCCAAATTTCACACAAGTGCCTCTCTGGCAGGACCTCCCCAGTCCCTTTCTAAAAGGAATCTGGGCAATGTGGTCCCACACTTTCTGCTCAGTTTTTGTGTCACTTACTCAGGGAAGTCTTTGCTGACACTCAGGCTGAGGGAGGTTTTACACTCTTGGAGAACCACTTCCTGGCTCAGTTTGAAATTATGCATCCCTTTAGCGAATGTTGGCTTCCCTCCCAGGGCTAAGTTCCTCGTGTGCCCCAACTATGATCATCAAGATACCTCCAGCTCCTTGCAAAATTCTTGGCAGGTGATGGTTCTCAATCAATATGCATTGGGTGAATAAATTATATCAGCAAATTCTGAATGAATGAGAGCTTGAGAGAAGGGAAATCACTTTAAGATCCATTCTTGGCCCAAGAATATTGTTAGCTATGAGAAGAGTCATTTGCCCCAGTGAAATGTCAAATCCACTTGTTGT